ACACAAAAATAAGAAATAAAATAAATACAAGAATACAAAAACAAATATATTCAAATAAAAAATAAAATAATATAAAAAAGAAGAGAAAAGAAGAAAAATATAATATATAATCAATTATAAATATTATATGATTAATATATAATATGTAATAAATAATAATTTCATATAATATATATAGAAGATATAAAAATTAAATAAATAATAATAAATAATAGAGAAATAATAAGAGAAAAGAAATGATATAATAATATGGAAAATGTATAAATGAAAAGATAAATAAAATCAATATAATATAAATAAAATAATAATAAATATAAAGAGAAAATAGATATAAAATATAAAAATATAATCAAAATGAAAATAAGATAAAGAAATGTATTAATATATAATAAATTATATATAAATAAAAATATAATAATATATAAAATAAAATATAAATAATAAGAATATAAAATTAATAAAATAAGATAAATATAAAATATATAGATAAAGTGATGATATATAATATAAGAATAAAAATAAATATAATAATAAAATATATAAATATATAATAATAACATAATAATAACATAATAATAAAAATGAATACTTACATTGAATCAAAAGTCTTTTCTGAATCATTTATAATTCAGAACAATTGATCATAAAATGATATAAAATATAAAGAAATATAAATGAATATAGAATGAATATTTAATTTACTTTTTTATTTTTTATTTTTTTTAGGAGCAAAATAATAAAAACTATTATTTTATTTATTCAAATTATTTTACCCCTTTTCTTTTTGGGTGTTTTTTATTTAGATTCATTATTTCTTTGCTTATTTTGGTTCCTGATAAAAAGTATTAATTTATGGTGATAGTAGTTTTGGTGTAAATTCATAAACTAAAAATATTAATTAATATACTGGTATTATATATAGTGTTGAACAGACAAACGATAATTTTGATACAACAACTTCTCAAAACAATGAAAACATGAATCTATAAATAAGTGTCATAAATTATTTGTTTGTCTAAAACATTTAATCATTCACGTCTTTTTTTTCTGAGAGTTCATATGCTATTTCTCTTATTTTTCTTACTTCATGTACTAGACCGATTCAAACCCTAGACCATTCTCATACTTCTTTTACACTTTCATCTCTCATAGTCATTAACACTCAATCATATCAATTTCTAGATCTATTATTTTTTATTTTATCTCATTACTTATCGTTGTTATACATTCTTTTAATTTATAAACAGATAGTTTTTATTTAGTGAATCTTTTATCCTTAACACCGTCAAAAAACATCTATTTTTTATTAATCCAAAAATAAGATATTTCTTCTTTTCTTTTGATACTTATTAAATATTTCATTGAAAGTGTAGTTCATCGATCAGATACATATAAAACTTATTTTGTTTTGTTTTTTAGTTATACTTGTTTTAATTGTAATTCTTGAATAGAGTTTCACTATTTTGAGTATTATTTTGAATCTTTCCTTGGTAGTTTAATAAAATAATTTATTTACATACTTTTATAATTTTATGAAGAACATAATAATACTTTTTATAGTTAAAATGAGTTAAGTCATAATACAAATAGGATTTTATTTCATTTCATTTTCACTGTTCTATAATGGAATTAACCAAAATCAAAGAAGAAAAGTAAAAAATATCTTTTCTACAAAAATTAGAAAAACCATTTTTTTGAAGTGAAACGAGAGGATGATTTGAGTGGATTAAACATATTGATTTAATAATTATTTATAATTATTAATATTTTAGTTAAAAACAAAAACTATTTGAAAGAAATAAAAATCCTGAAGAACGATAAATAGTTTTTAATTAACTGAAAAAGATTTCAATATTCGAATAAACGTAAAAGAATAAGAAAATTCTTTTAACAGAAACACTGACTTTTATTATTTTTGAAAGTACATTAAATATTTTATAAAAAAGGTAAAAAATAACTTGATATTCATAAAAAGATTAAACTGAAATGAGAAGCTTACTGATATTTTCAGTTTTGTTAATCCACAATGTATTTGCTGTTTGTGGAAAGAATGAAACAGTAGTTCGAGGTAGTTGTGAGAAATGTGAAGATAAATTTGATTTTTGTTCATTTTGTGATGAGAATAGTTGTATTTCATGTAGTGAAGGTAAATATTTAAATGAAGGAAGGTGTGACTTTTGTCCAAATTATTGTAAGAGTTGTACTGCCAATTCATGTACTTCTTGTGAAGATGGATTTTTTCTTAGTGATAATGAATGTTTTTCTTGTTTAATTAAAAATTGTACCAAATGTCTTTCTAATGGGAAATGTTCTGAGTGTACTGTAAATCATTATTTAAATGATGGCACATGTTTGTCATGTGAAGAAGAGTCATCAAATAAATATTCTCAATGTTATTTAAATTCAAAAGGAGAATTAGTTGGAACTCAATGTGGAAACGGATATTATAATAATACAAATAATCAATGTACTTTGTGTGATGTTAATAAACAATGTGACACATGTTCTCCAATAACAGGTAATTGTATAAATTGTAGTTCAACAAAAATATTAATAGAAGGTTCATGTGTAGAACGATCAACAGTTCATTGTTTAAATTCTAAAAATTCAAGATGTACTCAATGTGATATAAGTTCGCACTTAATACAAGGAGTTTGTTATGAAACAATTCCGTGCTGGTGGTCTAATAAAATAACAGATATTTCTCAAGTAGAAACCTCTGATAGTTACTCTATAGACCCTAATACGATTATATTTAATAATTTATGTTTTGATAAGTCGTCAACACATTGTCTTCAAGTAAGTACAAATACTCATAGTTGTACAGAATGTGTAAATGGATATTATTTATTTGGAGGATTATGTCTTCAATGTTCTTCTTTCTTTGATCATTGTATTGATTGTGGAGAAATTCAAATGAATAACTTTACTCATACTGTATGTAAATATTGTGAAGAAGGATATTATAGTGATGTTGGATGTAGTCCTTGTAGTAATATAAATGGATGTAAGAGATGTGAAAATATATTAAGAAAAGGAGATATGTCAACAAAGATTTGTTATGAATGCATTGATGGATATGAATTAATAGATGGAATGTGTAAACCACTTTTAAATTGTGTAAAAGCAACTGGACCAATTTGTAATGTTTGTCGTAAGAATTATCTTCCTCAAAGCGGAAGATGTGTTCCAATGAAAGAAGTAATTCCTAAATGTTCTTCTACTTTAAATGGTAAATGTAATTCTTGTGAAAGAAATTATTATATTACTAGTACAAATGAATGTCGTTTATGTAATATTAAAGGGTGTTCAGATTGTTCAATTGATGGGGTATGTACTATGTGTGAAAAAGGTTATTGGTTAGACAACAGATTTTGTAGTAAATGTGATACAATAGCTAATTGTGTTGAATGCCATAATGATAATTCAGGATGTTTATATTGTAAAGAAGATTATTATGTTTCAAATGGACTATGTGTTTCTTGTTCTTCTGGAGTTACTGATCATTGTAAATCTTGTTTACAAAAAGGTAACACTATCACTTGTACTTCATGTCAAGAAGGATATTATCTTCAAGAATCAAAATGTCTTCAATGTAATACTCTTGACTCTTTATGTCTTACTTGTTCTCCATCAGAACCTCGTTGTTTATCATGTAAATCAACTCATTTTCCAATGGGGAAACAATGTTTATTATGTTCTACAAGATTAGTCCATTGCCTTGAATGTTCAAGTTTAGAAGAATGTACTGCTTGTGAAAGTGGATATTACTTATCTAATGGAGAATGTTTCCCATGTTCTGTTATGAAAGGATGTCAATTATGTAGTAGTGGAAATGTATGTACAACATGTGATGAAATTTACAGGCCATTAAAAAAAGGAGATAATGTAATATGTTCTTTTGATGGAGGAGTAGAACATTGTAATATATTTACAATAGATGGAATATGTACAGCATGTTCATATCCTTATACTTTAGACACTTCATTAAATGTATGCCTTGATTGTCTTTCAACTATTGAAAATTGTGGTGAATGTTCACCAGCATCAAAACAGTGTATTTCATGTGTTTCTAATTTATATTATTTAAATAAGGATAAAATGTGTGAGTTATGTTCTGTAAGTATGCCTCATTGTAAAACATGTGAAGAAACATGTCTTTCTTGCTTAAGTGGATATTATCTTTCATTAGGACAATGTCAAAGTTGTGAAGTTACACATTGTAACATTTGTACTGAAAAAGGAAAATGTGAGACATGTAATAGTGGATATTATCTTACAGACACAAAAATATGTCAGGCATTAACTCGAACACAAAATGAATGTATAGAATATGATGGAATAAAAGAATCAAATGGATGTATCTCTTGTAATGATAAAAGTTTTATATATAATGGAGAATGTTTATTATGTTCATCCTATTATCCAAATTGTGAAGAATGTTCATTAGAGGGATTATGTTTAAAATGTTCAGAGGGATATTATCAAGTAAATGGACATTGTGAAGAGTGTTCTGGTATAAATGGATGTTCTAAATGTAGTCCAAATTCTGATGAATGTCTTGAATGTTCATCTGGAGTATTAATAAATGGAAGGTGTGGAAGTTGTAAGAATAGATTATGTAATACATGTTCTTCTGATGATACTTGTCTTTCGTGTATTTCTGGTTATAAATTAGAATCAGGAAATTGTAAATCAATTTATATTAAAGAAAGTATTGAATATCAGAATAATAAATATAAATTTAATAGATTTAATTCAAGTATTAGATATGTAAGTTCAAATGATAATAACTTTGTTAAATGTCAACCGAATTGTCAAGAATGTAAAGATAATAATTGTGTGAAATGTGATGATTATTATTATTTAGACAAAATAAAAACAACATGTGTTTCATGTTCAAGTAATTGTATTTCATGTAATGATAGTAATACATGTATAAAATGTGATTCAAAAACATATCTTTCTAATGGAAAATGTATTGATATTCCACACTCACATTATAAAAAAACTGAAAGTAGTACTGAATTATGCTCTAGAGCAATTTTTTCATGTTCAACATGTTCAATTGATCAAGGAAATGTAATATGTAATTCATGTATTGAAGATTATGCATTTTATTCAAAAGAAAAACGTATTTGCGTTCGTCATTATGGGTTAATTGATTCAGATGGAACAAGAATTTTATGTCCAAAAGGGTGTAGTTTTTGTGATAAAAATTTACGATGTTTAAGTACATACAGTGATAATTCATTTATTCAAAACGGTCAAATAGTTGAAATGAAAAATTCTGATGAATGTCTTATATTTGAAACAAACATTGGTTGTGTTTCATGTAAATCTTCAATTACATCTAATGGAATTTGTTTACCAACTAATTCTCGTTGTAAATATCAAATAGTTAATTCTGATGGTTCTATTACTTGTATTAAAAGTAATTTATTAAAACAATTAACTTTTAAAACTACTGAAACAGTAGAATTTCAAACAACAGTTACAACTTGTTCAAATGGTAAATATTATGGAACAACAACATGTACAGAATGTTCAAATAGTTGTTCAACATGTAATAATAAAATGTTATGTACATCTTGTAAAGAAGGGATATTAACATCTGAAGGAAAATGTGTTACAGCAAGTAATTGTGAAACATTTACAAATTCATCATGTGTTAAATGTAAACCAAAATATTATCTTGAAGATAATAATTGTATAAATTGTCCAGATGGATGTCAAGAATGTATAAAAGTCAATTCTGGAGTTAAATGTAGAATGTGTAGTGATTCTTCACTTATTTTAGTTAAAGGAACATGTACTACATTACAACAAGCACATTGTAAAAGTAAATTAAAAAATTATCCATATTGTTATGAATGTGAAAGTGGATATAGATTAAATAAAGACAGCTCTTGTGAATTAATTTCTGTTAAAGATTGTCAATATATCTTTAGAGGTGAATGTATTAGATGTTCAAGTCACAATTTATTACTTTCAGATTTAGGAGAAATGGTTTGTGATGAAAAAACAACAGCAAGATGTTTAGTTGATTCACAAAATGGTTGTTTAAAGTGTATTGATGGATTTTATCAAGATAATCAAAACAATTGTCAACCATGTGATATTTCATGTCTTAGATGTGATGAAACACCAAAAAACTGTAGTTCATGTAGTTTTGGATATTATTTTAATGATGAAGGAGTTTGTGAATATATTGGAGAATTAGCTCATCAATGTAAAAGATTTGTTCCAAACGGAAGAAGTTGTGCAGCTTGTAAAGAAGGATTTATTCTTCAAGATGGTGGGACATGTGAAGAGTGTAATGAAAAATGTATTAGTTGTATTAAAAATAAAGATATATGTTTAGCTTGTAATCTTCAAGGAGGATGGTTTTATGATGAACAACAAGTTAATGAACTTGAAAGATGTCAACCTACTTCATCTTTACAACATTGTAAACAATTTGAACAAAAAGGATGTTCAATATGTGAAAATAGCTTTTATGTTAATTCAAGCCATCGTTGTTCACCATGTAAAACTGATTATTGTTTTGATTGTACATCTAATCGATGTAATGAATGTATTGATCAATATGTTTTAAAGCATCAAGTTTGTATATATTGGAAAGACATTAAAAAGTGTATTTCATATGATACATCAACTAAAAAATGTAATAAATGTCAATCTTTATATACACCAACTAATGATGGAGCAGAATGTGTTTTCAATAAAATTAGTTTAGTTTTAGTTATTGGAATACCATTATTTGGGATATTTGTTATTATTGTTTTAACAATAATAATTATTTCATATCTTTTATTTGCACTTCATAAAAAGAAAAAATTAGAAGAACGAAAAGCAAAAATCACAGAACAATATATCGATGTTTTAGAAAGTGAAGGAATCCATTTAAAACCTTTTGGTGGAAATAGTTCCTTTGTTGTTAGTAGTACTGATACTCTAGAATTCTTTGGAGAAATTGATGATGAAGTTCCTGTTGGTTTAGAAACAGCTCAAACGATGTTTATTGGAAATAAAAATGCTAAAATAATAAAATGTCAATTTAGTTATAAATCAATGGATGAACGTGTAAGAGTTAGAATTGAACCAGAACTTATTGATATTAAGAAAGGACATGCAGTACAATTTAATATTTCAATTCTTCCATTTTGTTCTTGTGAAATAAATGAAACTATTCTTTTTATTGCTGTTGATATAAAAACAAATAAAGTTATTGAAATTCCTGTTCATATTATATTCAAAACAGTTTTGAGTACAAAACTTGATTATAACGATTTACAAATAAAAAAACAAATTGGAAAAGGGTCATTTGGAATTGTTTATATAGGAGAATTTAGAGGAAGTAAAGTTGCAATTAAACGAATGATTGAAAATGCCAGTGATGCAAAACAATTAGAAGAATTTGAGAAAGAAGTTTCAATGTTAGACAAATTTAGAAATGATTATATTGTTCATTTTTATGGAGCGGTATTTATCCCTAATAAAATATGTATGGTAATGGAACTTGCAGAATATGGTTCACTTGAAGATTTAATTAAAAAAAGAAGTAATAACCCTTTATCAATGGAACTTCGTATAAAAATTATGTTAGATGCTGCTAAAGGAATTGAATATCTTCATTCAAATGGAATATTACATCGTGATATTAAACCTGATAATATTTTGGTTGTATCTTTAGAAGAAAATATTAAAGTTAATGGTAAATTAACAGATTTTGGAAGTGCAAGAAATGTTAATTTAATGCTTAATAATATGACATTTACTAAAGGAATTGGTTCACCAACGTATATGGCTCCAGAAATATTAAATAAAAAGAAATATGAAAAACCAGCAGATATTTATTCATTTTCAATCTCTTTATACCAAACAATTATTTATCATGACCCTTATAAAGGAATATGTGAATATCCATGGGATATTATTGATTTTATTCAAAAAGATAATTACCTTCCTTTCCCTAATGAAGCAACAGAAGAGATGAACTTATTATTAAAAAATACTTGGGATCATTCTCCCTTAAAACGAATTAATATTAGTGAAGTTATCTGTTCATTACAAAAAATCTTACAATCAATTTGTTCTAAAAATGGAAAAACAATTTATTAATAATTATAATATTTTTATTGTTTTATTTCAGTTTTAATAGATTTTTTGATATTTAATCATATTTTATTTTTGTATTGATTTATAATAATAAAACTATTATACTAATTTATTAAATTTATTTCATTTAGAATAACAAAATGAAATAAATCATTTAATAAAATCAAATACCTTTTTTACCAAATATTCAATTCTGTATTTTACTCTTATTTTAATATTTGATTTATACTAATAAAAATAAGTTAATAAGATTAAACTAATTTCAACTTGTTATAATTTCGTTATTTAAAATCTCATTTATTTTGAATTGTTTTATTCTAAAAATTTATAGAAAAATATTTCGATAAATATACTATTTAATTAATTAAAGTTAAAATTAAAAAGTAGAATAATAAAATAAATTTAGAGACTATAACACTAGTGTAATGATTAGATAAATTTTTGTTTTTAGAATCTTTAGTATCTACTTTATTTATTTTTGCACTTCCCAAAAATGGATTTTGAAATAAAAAATTATTAGCAAAGGAAAAAAAGAATAACAAAAAAAAAAAAAGAAATGGAGAGAAGTATTTGGTAATTAAAAAAAAAATGAAAAGAACTTAAGATTGAATTTATCAAACAGTTTATTTGATGAAACAAATACCAACGTGTTTGCTTCGGATAGAAGAACAAACCTTAGGAGAAGAACAATCTATGAAACGGTTATCAGAATTAGCAAATTTACGAGAAAATGCAATAAGAGAAGGGATGTTCAATTCAGTTAAATCATTTAAAGAAATGGATACCAATGAATTAATGTACTCAACAATAGACTTTCTTATTGGGACAACGTTCAGTAAAATAAATAATAAATCACAAGAGAGTGATTACTTGTCATCATATCATTTTGATTTGTTTCTTAAGTTAATGGTTAAAATGCAACTATGTGTAAAAGAAACATACAAATCTACTTTATGTGGTACTATAGAAGTAGGTAATTATCCTAAAGTACCTACTAGATCACAAACAAAAGGAATATTAGTTAATATACAAGATAGAACATTTTGGATAGCAAGACTAAAAGATTTAATACATTCAGCGTTATTACAGTTACAAACGTATATATTTCAATGTAATACTTTAGGTCACTCAATAGATTTCTCATTAGAAACATACTCTTTAAAATTTTTTGAATTAAAATCAGTATTTATTGGAATTGATATTCAATTATTATTTCATGATTTGTCAGAACCATTTACTGAAACAGATGGTATTAATAATTACATTTCAAGTGAAACATCATCAAATGAAAAATTTCTTGCACTACCACAAAGAATAACTCGATGTAAAACAATGCCAAAATGTTATTCTCCACGTACAGCACCACTAGAAATAACTACAAAAAAGTCAGTAGTAATTCCACGAGCAAATGAGAAAGAATTAATATTAGTTAATGTTAAAGGAGTAAAAATAATATATAGAAATGATGTTCCAAATAATATGCAAAATATAGAAAGAGAAGGGAATATCATTATCACATCATTTAAATTTTGTTTTATTGATGACTCAGATGGGAAATATAATATTTTTGTTCCAATGACAAAAATTGGAGATTTTAAGAAAGTAAATAATAATAAATCAGAACATCGTAGAATTCTTGAATTTAATACAAAAGATAATATTTGTGTTAAATTCTCATTTCTTAAAAATCGTGAAGAAAGAAAAAGTATTTGTACTGCATTAAATAGTTTAGTATTTGTACCACCAACTTCTTTAGAAATATTTAAATTAATTGAATCTATTCCAACAAAACCAATAAGATATTATGATGTATTAGATGAGTTTATTCGTCTTGGATTAAATAAATCAGATTCAAATTGGAGAGTATCACGAGTTAATGATGACTATGTATTTTGTCCAACTTATCCAAGAGAAATTATTGTTCCTAAAGAAGCTAGCGATGAATTATTATTAGAAGATAGTTCATTTAGAAGTAGACAAAGAATTCCAGTTATCACATATGTATCCCCTAAAGGATCTTCTATTGCAAGATGTTCACAACCATTATGTGGATTAACTGGAAAAAAATGTCAAGCTGATATTGAACTTCTTAAAATGATCAGACATGGTGGACCATCAAATAAACTTCGTATTCTTGATTCAAGACCAAAAACAAATGCTGTTGCCAATATTGCTATGGGTGGTGGTTATGAAACTGAAGAAGATTATCCATTTGCAACAATAGAATTTGAAAGTATTGATAATATTCATGTTGTAAGAGAAGGATGGCAAAAATTATGTTGGTATTGTATGCAATTACCAGAACATTATAAGACAAGTCAAATTATTAATTGTAATGAAGTTCAACAATGGTGGAAAATTATATTAGCTATCTTTGCTTCTTCTATTAAAATGTGTAGATATTTAGAATCTGGAGAAAGTGTGTTAGTTCATTGTACTGATGGATGGGATAGAACAAGCCAATGTTGTTCATTATGTGAAATAATGTTAGATCCTTTTTTCAGAACAATTGATGGATTTATTATTCTTATTGAAAAAGATTGGAAGTCATTTGGACATAAATTTATGACACGTGCTGGAGTTGGTGTTCGTTGTCCACATAGTCAATATTCTCCAGTTTTTCATCAATTTATTGAATGTGTATTTATATTATTACAACAATATCCTACATCATTTCAATATAATGAAGATTTTCTTATTGAAGTAGATGATGCAGTATTTTGTCATAATTATGGAACATTTATGTTTGATACAGATTGTGAAAGAGAAAAGTATCACGTAAACGAAAGGACACCATCATTGTGGTCTATGATTATTGAAAATAGAGAATTATTTACTAATCATCAATACATTCCATCTGATAATAAATTACATTTAAATGGAATCCCAAAATTTGTGTTCTGGGAAAAATATTATTTTTGTAACAGAAAACTTTAAATTCATTTTTATTTTATTATATAAATATTGCATTATATATACCTCTTTTAATTCTTTTATAAACTATTAAATAAATTAAATAAATGATGATGAAATTACACTATTTACTTGTTGAGCTTCATATAATGAATTAACAATATCTATTGAGAATTCAATTTCTTCAATACCATTAAAAAATGATTTAATATTATCATAAAATATACATCCTTCATCAATCATTTCTTTTTTATTCCATTCTTTAGATAAGATAATATGTTCTAATACTCTTCTTTCTGGCATAAACTTTTTTTCTGGTTTCTTTTTTACACACTCTTCAAAAGAAAATCCAAAGAAATCTCTAAGAATATCAAGTAATTGGTTATCAGTAATAATAAAAATCATATTTCTTTTATATCTTGTTTGTTCTGTCATTCCTTTAAGAATATTACTTTGTTCAATTTCTTTTTCAATTTGATTTCGAGAAATTAGAACAATATTTTGATAAGATAATTCTTCTATTTTTAATTTTTGATAGATTCCTTCTTTTATTATTCTTTTCATTTTAATAGTACATCCAAGATAATATAATATCATCATAAGAAATCCTTCATTCCCATAATCATTCCTATTGGCATTTGCTCTATTTTCTCTCTTTCTTTTTCTTGTTTCTTCTAAATTAAATGCTTTTCTTTTTCTTCCTCTTTTCTTTTTTTCTTCTTGTAAAAAGTTAGGTAAAGTCGTTTTATATGTTAGACTAGTCTCCATTGAAATATATGATAAATTCAAGTTTTCTCAAGCATTTATACTTCAACAGAATCATAAAATAAAACAGCATTAAAATAATCTTTCATCAGAACAAAAATAGAAAGGTTAATATTAGAGGATATTTAATTCATTTATTCTTTCATTATATTCACATATTCATTTATTCACTTGATAATGAGACAACTTCCAGCAATAAAAATAAATCAATGTTATATATTACAAATAATTTTTTAATAAAAAATTAAATAAAAATTTTCATATTTTTTTTTTACTAACATCTTTTTTTTTTAGATTATCAGTTTTAATTTTTTTTAAAGATTAGATTTAAATGATGTATTATTTCAGGAAATTATTTAATTATTATAAGAATAGATTTAATGAAATAAAAAATAAAAGTCAATTAAAAACTTAAAAATCAAGAGATATTTAAGATGCAACAAAGCCAACAACATTTAGGATATAATGAAATAATGATTGCCTCCAAGTATTTTGATGATATTAAAGACTTTATTAATTTAGAAATTGGAGTTAAAAGATTTCAAGGGAATATGGAAAGATTTCACTTTAATCCAATTCCTTTAAATGAACATTCAAGAAAGTTGTTTCCAAATATTGAAACACTTAATATCTACGATAGAAAAGATAAAATATATAAAGATGGAAAAATATTTAAACAATTAATATGGTATCCTGTTAGTTATGATGAATTTTTAAAACAAAAAGAATCAGGAAATGAATATAAAAATGTTTTCATTAACAAAAATGATAAAAATTTTAATTTAAATAATGTTCAAGACCCAATCAATGGATTAGGAGATAACTTTTATAGTGACTCATCTGACATTACAGAAATTAACCTCCCACCAAAAATTAAAAGAATTGGAAAAAGTTGTTTTTCTCATTGTTCACAATTAAAGAAAGTTGTTATCCCACCAACAATTTCAGTAATAAGTGATTCATGTTTTTGTCATTGTGACCAAGTTACAGAATTTATAATTTCAGATTCTGTACAAGAACTTGAAGACTTTTGTTTTGCAGAATGTAGTTCTATAAATACTATTACTATTCCATTGTCTATAATTAAAATTGGAAGTCGTTGTTTTGAACGATGTAATTCATTAACTAATTTAAATATTCCAGGATATCATTTTACTATTGGAAATAGAATTTATTTTAATAATGCTCCTCTTATTAATATGGTTATTCCTTCTTCTGTTAAAACAATTAATGAACGTCCTATTGAAAGAATTTCTGAAAGTCAAAAAATTGTTATTCCTAATTCTGTTTTTTCTGTTAGTGATTTAGTTCTTATTGACGTAGATGTTAAACTTATTTCTTCTGCTAACACTAATCCTTATATTAGAAAAACAATTATGGATAAAATCCAACAAGATGCTAAACAAAGAGAAAATATTTATGAGAAGTTCAGTAGTATCTTTTAACTTCTAAAAAGTAAGTATATCATTTAAATTGATATTTTATTAGTTTAATTGATTATACTTTTTTTATTTTTTAAATTGTTAATTATAGTTTTTAAAATTTAAAAGTGAAAAAAAACTTCATTTTATCCTTTCATTTTTTAATAATCATCGTTATAGTTTTCATTCATTTGTTTTATTAAAATATAATTTTACCTGATTGGCTTAAAAAAGTACTGATTTTAATTTATGAATTGAATTAGCTTAACGAAATTAACTTTTTTTTTTTCAAAAAAGATACTTTTCATTCAAAATAGAAAGAAAACTGAGAAACGTTTGCTTTAATAGATGTGAATCATAATAAGAAAAAAATCTACTAACAGTAAACATGGGAGAAATAATAAACAAATCCCAAAATTGGCTTCTTTAATCTAATAACCAGATTGATTCATATTTAGATCCATGGAAGATAATAATATCATAAGAATTCAGGCATTACTTGTTGGATTTAATACTCGTAAGAAGTATAATTTGAGACAAATATATATTCAAAAAGGTATTGTTAAAGAAGCAGTTGAAACAGAAGAATCGTTATTAAAAAAAATGAAAACTATGAAAGATATATATCAACCCCCTTTAAAACAAGTTAATATTGATGAGACATCATATAAAGTCCATTTAATATTTGAATATCTTGATGCATGTATTGAATCAAGTCAACAAATTGTAAAATATGGGAAACAATTTCTTGAGAATTATAAAATAGATACACAACCATCACAATTTTTTTCATTTGTTACATTTCATTTATGGGCATATGGAGAATACACTATTAATTATAATATTACTAAAACAATGTTAAATGAATTAACAAAAAATATAATTTATCAACGTTTATTAAGTATTATTGATTCTAAACAACCACATGGATGGGTAATAAGTGATCTTATTATTGAACCAATGCAAAGAACTCCAAGATATCCATTATTATTAAATACATTAATAAAAGTAACTAATGAAAATAATAATGATTATCAATCATTATTAACTGTTAAAAAGGATTATGATTATTTTACTGCTTTAGTTAATGAAAAAACAGTAATGAGAGATAATCTAAGAATACTTGCTGAAAATATGGATTTTCCTCAAATTATTATACCACGAAGATACTATATTGGTGGTGATATTATGGCATATAATAAAAAAAAGTGTGAAGGTCATTTATTTAATGATAGAATTATTTGGTTTGCTGTATCAAAAGGTTCAAAAATTGGTAAACAAAATGAATATTATATTGAAGGTGAATTTATTTTTGATAGTAAAACTCGAGTTGTACTTTCAAGAAATATTGTTTCTTTAAATAAATATGGATTAATGCCAATTCAAATGTCTTTAGGCTCTAAAAAAACAGCTGAAAAATGGAAAGAGACTATTAATAATTTATTATTTTCTGGAATATGGGATATGGCAAATGAAAATAGTTGGATGAATACCGTTGATTGTCATTGTACTTTTGTTTCTTATATTACTCCAATGTTTCCAAAAATTACTAAAATAAAGAGATAAATAGACGTAATTACTATTATTGTTAATTCATTAGAGTACTTTCTTTTTATTATTATTTTTTGGTTTTCTCTTTTTCTTCATTCTATTAATTCTTTTTAAATAACAAAAATAATTTATTTGTTTTAAATAACGATAATATATTTTTTTCTTTTAAGATTAATAATTAAATCATTTTATTCTTTTTTCTAAAATATTTCTCCTTCTTCCAATTCAATCACTTAAAGAAAATTATTTGATATTTTTTTTTAAATTTAAAGTGTGGAATAGAACTTAATACTATTTAACGTCAGTATTTCTCCTATAATCCAACAAAAAGATGAAAAGAAAATAGAATGACAATTGTAGATATTATTATTTGATATATTTTATATAACATAATTATTATATAATATAAATTATATAAATTAAAAATAATAAGTCGAATTAAACTATAAACAAAATATTTGATTCTCTTTGAAATATATTAATTAAAGTTATTTAAAATGAAGAAACTAAACAATCATTTTTACTCTTTTCTTCTAAATTATTTTTTAACACTTTTCTTTTAGTTTAATTATTATCTTAAATTAAAATAATGAAATGATAAATCAATCAATCAACTTTCTTTTCATTTTATTCTTCAGATACTTCTTCTTCATTAGTATTATCTTCAAATTTGATATGTTTTGGATCTTGTTTTTGTTCTTTATTTTTTCTTTTTATTCCTCCTTTCTTTTCTTTTTTTTCGTTTTTGTGTGGACAATCTCGATCTAAATGACCAATTTCACCACAAATGAAACAAGGTCGATTATTTCCTTTTGCCTTTGGACAATCACGACTTTTATGTCCTGTCTTTCCACAGACAAAACATTTTCTTTCTGCATTTGGACAATCTTTACTAATATGACCAGGTTCACCACAAATAAAACAACAGTCAGTTCCTTTGTTTTCATTTTGAGGACAACCTTTACTAGTATGACCTATTTCTCCACAAATAATACATTTTTTTAATGCTTTTAATTTCTCTTTTTCTTCTTTCTCTAATTGTTTTTTGACTTTCTTTGTCATTGCCTTTTGTCCTCTTTCAGATATTTTTGCCATACTAACTTCTAATTCTCCACCTTCAACACCTCTTCCATTCATTTCTTCAACTGCTTTTTTAGCGTTTTCTTCATTTTCAAAATCAACAAATCCACATCCTTTTGAAATTCCTTTTTTTTCCATTAAAATAGTTGCTTTAATAGCACCAAAGTTATCAAACCTTTCTTTTAAATCTTTAATCTTCCAACTATTAGGAAATCCTTTAACAAAAATACATTTTTTTTGTTTTTGTGCAACTTCTAATTTAGCACATTTAGATAAATGACGTATTTCGAGATACTCTTTTGCTCTTTTAGCTTTTTCTGCATCTTTTTCTTTCTTTAATTTTATTTCTTCTTCTTTTTTCTTTTTTAATTCTTTTTTTGTTTCTTCAGATTCTACTTCAAGTTGAAGTATCTTTCCTTCAACTTCTTGACCATTCATTTCTTTAATGGCTAAATCTCTTGTTTCTGTATCTGGAAATTCCATAAACCCAAATCCTCTTGAATTTCCTCGTTTTCTTTTTATTACTTGACCAATTATTGGATGATATTTTTTAAAATATTTTGAAAATTCTATATCTCCCCATTTTAATGGAAGTCCTCTTATAAATGCTGTACAATTCCCTGATTTAATTAATGAACTTTTTTGTAACTCTTTAGAATTTTGTGATTTAATTTGTTCTTTTTGTTTTGATGATGAAGTGATGTTGTTTTGTGTTTCCATGAAGTATCTTTTATTTATTTTTCGTTTTTAAAAAAACCCTAAAAACATTTTTTTATCTTTTATTTTGTTTTTTTTTTTTTTAATAGAAATATATAGAAATTTTAATTTGAAATACATTAATAAAAAATAAAAAGAAGTAAATTAAACAATGAATATTCATATCAAAGTATTTTGTTAATACTTTTTTTTATTATAACTCTGTTGAATTAAGCAAATAATAATGGAAGATTATAATTATAAATTGGAATTTGTTTAATTCTTTGAGTAGTTCTATCAGGAGAAGAGAGAGCGAATGAAGCATTGAATACTTTATTACAACCTGCAGTAAACAAACAATTTACTAAGAATGTTTGAATATCAAATAAAATATTTTTATTAAACTCGTCACTACAACTCTTTTTTTGAAGTTCACATTCTGCAATGATCATACACACTCTTTTTGATTTTGTTTCATTAGAAGGAATGTAAGATGAAAGTAGTTCATCGAAAATAATTTCTCTACAAGCCATACAAGCATCTCTAAATGAAGTAAAGAAACTTGGGTCACAAACTGGAAATGATTGAACTATCTTAAGAGAAAGTAAATGTTTAACAACTCCATAAGAAAAGAAGTCTAAAATTCTTTGTTCTTTTTCAAATGATTTACAAAATGAAGATTGAAGAAGATTATTAGAAAGTGCATATCTGATCATTCTATGAAAATAAGAAGTTTGTATCGTCATGTTAAATTATTTTAATATTCTTTATTTTCAGTTAAATATTTGAACTATGAGGTTTTTAAATTGAATAATAATTATTTATTGTAATATCATTATTAACTTTATTACAATTTTAATTATCTTTATACATGGTTCTTGCGGTTAGAAGTAATAAGAATCAATTATACTAATTTAGGGCTCTTTTTATGACAGGATCTTGAAGTATTACAAAATTCAAAATTCTAAGTATGACATTAATATAAACACAATCATATTTATCTATGAATAGTTTTATGTAAATTAAAATTAATATAATACGATTATCATTTAATCATAAATTCTTATATTTAATTTAATTTATTCCTTTCAATTAAATATTGTATTTATTAATTCAATTGAATTTATTATTTAATAGAAAAATAAACAATTAAATATTAAAATTTTTTTCTACATAACAAACAAATATAATTTATTAAATACCTCATAAATGTTTTATTCATTTAACAATAAAATATTTTTCTTTTTTCAAAAGAATTCAATATAAAAAAAGAAATAAATTAAAAGAAATTTAATTAGTAATCGCATCCGCGAAGTGTTTGTTTAATACTAGCATCACAAACATTAACAGGAACATCTTTAGCTTTTTCAGTTGGTTTAGTCCATCCAGCGAAAGGAACAAAATCATCGAAAGTTTCTTGTTCGTTTCCAATATAAATTAAAGGATAATGAACAGCAAGAGGATGAGTATAGTCTGCACCAAAAATATTAGACCAATCATCTTTACCAGTTAAAATCATAATTGATTCACCTAAATTAATAGTAGCACCCATTAATTCATTGAATGTTTGTTGATTAAGAGTTTTATCAGAACTCCATTGACCTTCTCTAATTTCAAGAATAACACCATGGTGTGGTAAATCTTGTGTTCTTACTTTGTATGTTTGAAGTTGTCCTCCAATATTACCGCATGTAACACATGGTCTAAAAATGAATTCAATATCATCACTTCTAAATCCAGCTCCTCTAAGATATGCCCCATTCTTTAAACTATTTAAATTGAATTTTCCATCATTAGTAAATGCAACAAGTGCAGCTAATGCATGTTTTCGTGCTAAACATTGAGCAAGTTGTGGTGTAATTAAATCCTTTCCAATAATATCTCTATGTTCACACATAGCAAATGTTACTGCAATAAATAATGTTATAACAATGAATTTCATTATAATCTCTAAATTTTTAGTTCAACTTAATTAATTTTTATTTTTAAATAAAGAATATATTGGAATAAAGCTGAAACTTCTTATTTTTTTGATTATAGTTTCTTTTTAATTTATTTTTTTATTAATTGGAATTTAATTCTTTTTTATCTTCTTTCTATTTTAATGATTTGATTTTATCTTTCTTTTTGGTTAATTAATAAAATAGAGTCATATTGTTAGATTTGTTTATTGTTAAATTTTATGTTTCTTAAAAATTAATTATTTTTGTTTCTTTAATTTTTTTGTATTACTTTTTTATAAATATTCATATTTAAATTATTTCATTTCTTCTAATAGATTGTTCAATTTTAATGAATTAAATATTAAGTGTTTGATATTTTTATTGACCATTATTTGTTATGTATTATTTTATTATATCATAATATCAATTTCATTTATTTCTAATATTCATATGAACTGATTAACTATTAATCTATAAGTTATCTCTCTGTTTTCTCTTCTTTCTCTATTGAAGTTCTTTGTTTTTACTTTTGCAATTATAATTTACCTCATTATTTCTATCTTGAAGTATTATATTTCCATTAACAAACTGTTTCTTTTTCTTTATATTTTGATAATACTTTGCATAAACTTTTTGACTGATTTGAATAACTAATATCAAAATTGAGAATACAATTGATAAGAAAATATTAAAAAATAAAAATATCATTTTATTGATTTGTTTTATTAACAAACTTACTTATTTTACTTTTAGAATTCTTTTAGGATGAAAATAAACAACTAATTTCAAGAAGTCTGGTTCATTGGAAAAATAAAAAAGTAAAAGATTATTTGTTTATTATCCAATACTGTTCTAAAGGAAATATGAATGACTAAATACTCAACGAAGAAGATACTGTCAGACCAACAAAGATAAAATTAGAAAAAAATGTAAGAGAATGAGTCAATGTTAATATTCATAACAATACATTATATAAGTACACAAGAGATGATTTAAAAGAAAGACATTAACGAATTGGAATTAAAGATTATTACATCTAATACTCAAATGATTATAATAAAATAATAGGAGAATAACTAAAGTTATTGTTTCATTTCAGTCAATCAAAAAAATGAAAAGACAATGAAAAGAGAGAATGTAGAACATAATAAAAAAGACATAAGATATAAGACTAATTAAATAAATGAAAAGGTACAATTTAAGAAAATCAGAGAAATTGAAAAATAATAAATTTATTAATAGAGTATGCTAATAATATTGAAATTTAAAACACTATTTTAATCAATAGTTGAATTATTTTTATTAATTTGATTGGTTAATTAAAAAAAAACATAAAATTAAAAAAGGAGAAAATAGTAGAATGATTTGTAACAAAAGCAACCAATCAGTAAAGAGGAAATTAAATTTACAATATTTAATGAATTTTTATAATGCTAAAAACATAAATTTTTGAAAAGAAATAAATGAAGGAAATAATAAAAAAATAATAAAAATGTTATAATATTGTTGTATTCAATTTTTAATTGAAGAGAAGTCAAAATCCAAGAACTGAAATTTCTTATAAGTAAAAAAACATAATGACAGATGATATTCCTAAGCCAATTGCATTTCAACCAATTGATTTATCGTTTGTTCTTTATATTTAAAAGAGTAAAATAGTTAGTATGATAACTTAATAAAATAGAAGTATTTATAGTGAAAGTTGTTCATTTACTTCAGAACGTATGACTCCAATGAATGTTCTTATTCCACCACGAGATCATTCTCCATTAGGATTTGATGATACCAGTTTATCTCAAAGTAATTCAAATAGTAGAATAAATAGTAGAACAGGTAGTAGAAGAACAGACCTACTATCACCATTAGACTTGTTTAATACCAAATCAAGTTTAGATGTTTATGATGACTTCTTCATTTTCCAATAATTTAATTTGTTTTATATAACAAATATAAAAAGATTTATTTTAATCATTAAAAATCAGAAAAAGATCTCGAAAAATAAAATGTTTAATCCTTCAAATATCAAACAACAACTTACAAAAACTCACTTAATAGAATTTATTACTGCTATTATATTATTTTTTGTTGGGATGATATTAGAAGGATTTCCTGGTTATCATATGGAAATTCCTCTTGAAAGAAATAATGCAATGGTATTATATAAAAATCTTAATAGTACTGTTCCAAGTATTCTATGTTTGATTATTTCAATAAGTTTACCTATTATAGTAATATTTCTATTTGCAAAGAAAAGAAACTCAACTTATTATTTTATTACTGTGTTCATAGTCTTCTTGTTTTCATTTTCAATAAATTTCTTTCTTACTAATGCAATTAAGTTATTTGCTGGTCGACCTCGTCCTAATTTCTATGCTATGGTTGATGCTGGAAATATAAAAGATGCATACAAATCTTTTCCAAGTGGACATTCTTCAATGGTGTTTAATGGAATGATGTTTATTTCCTTATTACTTTGTGGTGAATTACGTGTATTTAATGGTAACGGTTCTTTGTTGACACTATTATTATCATTACTTCCATTAGTCATGGCAGGAATTGTTGCTGTGACAAGAACACGTGATTATTTTCATAATTTTGATGATATTTTAGCAGGAAGTATTCTAGGTTCAGTTATTTCATTGTTATCATATATCACAAAATTTAAACCATTATGGGGGCAAAGTGCTGGTGAAATAGAAGAAGAAGTCAATCTTGAGTTTGATAACAACTATGTTGTTTAATTTATTTTCCTTTCATATTTCTTTATGAGTTTTTTTTTTTAAGAATTCTTAAAAAAACCCTTTACAACTAGATATTTTTAGAACTTGATGGAAGGAGTAAAAGAGGAAGATATTATTTGTATTGATGATTCACTAGAAGAGAATAAACAGTCTATTACTTCTGATGATGATGTTTTAATTGTTGAAGATAATGGTAGAACATACCAAAAAAGAATACCAGAACACTTTGTTTCTTCAACACTAACAAACAATAAATATCCACGACTTCCACCTTTAATTCAGAAAGAAGAAAAGACAAATAAGTTTGTAATGAAAATGACAGCTTCTAATCACAAGACTCCATTTAAAGTGGAAGATAAAAATACAAACGAAGATTGTTTTATAGAAAAAACTCAAAAATATGATGAAAAGAAAAAAATAATATCATCACTTATACCATATTTTAATGAGAATGAAGAGAAAGATATTATTGACATAGAAAATGATGAAGTGATTGATGTTGACTCAATTGATTTACCAATTGACTCAACAAAAAAGAAATACATCAAAGGAAAAAAGAATCCTCTTTTTGATTTTAGATTTACATTTGAAGACTTTAAAAGAAGAACTGACATTTGTATGAGAAGGGCGTTTACTGTTGATTCAGATAAAACTAAAATAAGAGATGATGCATTTCATGTTGAAGTACTTGAAGATGACACATTTGAAATTGGAATACATTCAGTTGATTGTTCTGATTTTATTGGAATTTCAAAAGATCCTTTAAGACAAATTCAATACCAATTTAGAAGACATCAAAGAGAATCAAAAACAATGTCTAAAATTAAAGAAAATATGTCATTTAATGCAGGAACACAAAGAAGAGCACTTTCATTAATTATTGTTATGAATGGAAAAGGACAAATCATTCAAAACCCACAATTATGTTTGTCTATGATTAATATTCGATGTAATTTAAATAGTGAGCAATTTGATTGTTTATTAAATAATACAGCTGTAAATAATCCTTTATTATGGAAGTCTTATGGTACTTTTGAAACATTTAATTGTGGAAAAATATATGGTACAACACTTCCACAATTAAAAAACGATATTACAAGTCTTCATAATGTATTTTGTTATCATATAGGAAAAAAACATAAAAATGTATTAAGTGGAAATGATTTAGTTCAAGAATTAGGAATATTTCTTGGAAGATATATTAGTCAATATTTATATAAAACCTATGGAGAATATGCACTTGTTATTAGTGTAAGAAATCAATTAGTTACACAATTTAGAAGTCCATTAAGAAAATATTTTGATGTATTAGTATTAAAACAATTAGTTTGTGCAATGGAACATGAAAATGTTGAAAGAATGAGTCAAAGAATTATTGGAAGAGGAAAGAATGAATTAAAAAGAATTATTAAAGAAATTAACTTGATTTATGAAGAAAGAAGGAAATTAATGTAAATTAATTTTTATTTATTTTTGATTTGTTGGTTTTTGAGCATCTAATGATCCTGATTCACGTAATAAGAATTCAACCCAAAGATCTCCAAAAGTTTTATCCTTTAAATCATACTTTGGTGGTTCATCATATTCATCTGTTTTACCAAAGAAATAACTAAATAATCCAGTTTGTGTAGTTTCTTGAGAAAGTCCAAGTAATCGTTTTTCTTCTTCAGTAAAATCCATTATTTTAGACATAAGATTAACAATTTCCATTCGTTGATGTGGTTTTGTTATATAACTAATTAATAATTTGTTTATAATTCTTTTATCAACATAATAAGTTTCATTCATAATTTTATTTTGTAAATCTTGTGTAAAATTTTCTACTGTTTTTTTTAATGTTTCATTTTCTTCATATAATTTAGTAATGGTTTCATTCCGTTGAACATTTAATTGTTTAATTTCATCCATTTCTTTTAGTTGATTAGTTATATCTTTTATTTGTGTATTGAGTTCTTCATTTTCTTTTGCTTTTCTTTGATTTTCTTTTTTTGTTTGTTCTAATTCTTCTTCTAATATTGTGACTTTTTCTTTAATAATTTTTTCTTGATCTTCTTTCATCTTTCTTCCAATACCACTTAATGTTTGAATAATTTTTTTTTGTTTTTCAATTTCATTATTTGCTATTTCAATACTTTTTTGTAATTCTTTATTTTCTTGTTTTAGTTCTTCAATTTCTTCTTTTTGTTTTTCAATGATTTGTGTATTTTTTTGTAATCGAGAAATTTGTTCTTCATATCCACTTACTATTTCTGTTTGAGCCTCTTCTTGTTTAAGAATTAGTCCCTTTAATCGTTTAACTTCTTCAATTTGTTTTTTGTTTTCATTTGTCATTTCTTTAATCTTCTCTTCATACTCTTTCTTTATCTGCTCAATTTCATTTATTGGTGAGGTATCTACAGACATTTCTCAGTGATCTTTTTTTTTTTAAGTTTTTTCTCTTCAATACCATTTTTTTTTTGTAATTCATCCATTAAATTGTTTTTCATTTTATAAGATATTTTTTGATTTTTCTTATTTTAATATCCTAAAAATATTATTCTTTATCTTCAAAAATACTTTGACTTTTCATTTGAATTATAAGAAAATCATCTGGATGAGTTTTAGATAAAAATGGGGAATCAGAAGAGAAAGGAAACAACAAGATTGGAATTTTTATGTATAACCGAGTTCTTTTTTTATAAATAATTTCTTCTTTTTATACTAATATTATGGAAACAAAAAATGGAAATAGAAGAAGGGGTTGAGGATTGTTTAATTATCAAAAAGAAGATACTATAAAAACGAAATCTTGGAAAAGTTAAGTCAATGGTTTTTATTTCCAATAATATTAATTCTGTTGTTGAAGTTCAACTTATGGAAGAAGTAGGTCATGGAACTTTTAGCAGAGTCTTCAAAGGAAAAATGAAAGAAAAATATGTTGCAGTCAAAGTTCTAAATACTGTAGTTGATTGTATAAGAATGGAAGTTAGTTATATGAGAATGTTTCATCATCCAAATATTATTTCTTTTTATGGAACTATCCAAACAGATATGCTTGTTATTTTAACTGAATATATGGATTCTTCTCTTGATAATTTGTTATATAACCAACAACAATGTCCTCTTTCTCTTCAATTTGAACTAACATGCCCTATTAAAGTTCATATTGCTTTAGAAATTGCTAAAGGAATTAAATATCTTCAATCTTTAAAATTAATTCATGGTGATGTTAAACCAGAAAACATTCTAATCAATGCTGATCTTAAAGTTAAACTTAGTGACTTTGGTTTAACAAAACAACCAACTGAATTTAGTGAGAGTATTCATGGAACTCCAAATTATTTACCTCCAGAAACGTTCCTGTATAATGAATATAATATTACTTGTGATATTTACGCTTTCTCTATGGTTATTTGGCAAATATTTACTCAACGATTATTATACATTAAATATGATTCAATGGATGATTTGTCTTTAGAAGTTGTTCATGGAGAAAGACCTCCTTTAAATAAAATGATACCAGAGATTTACCATGAACTATTGACTGATATGTGGAGTAATCAAATCGAACAACGACCTAATATTGAAAGAGTTATAAAAATATTATCTTTGGGATATTTAGAAGAAATAGATAAAGATTCAGTTAAAAATGCCTGGTGTTCTCTTTGTCCTAAACAAGTACTTGACTTTAAACTGTCTTATCATTATCTTAATACAAAAGGTAATTTCAAAAATATCTTTAGAGGAATTGATTTTGTATCTGTTAATGATTTTAATTTCGCTTGTAATTGTTTTGGTAATATTTGGGATGTTTCTCTTCAAAGAAAGATTAACGAATTTATAAAAAATGCTCATCTTTTTATTAATTGGACTAACTACTCTATCACTGCAGAATTAAATAAAACTAAAATAATTATTAAAGAAGATATATTTAGTGATTCTTTCATTGTAGATGATGGAAACAAAACATACTATATTAAATCTCTTTGGGAATTATAATGAGTAGTTCCTATTTGTTTTTATTATATATTTATAGTTTATTAACAATGAATTTAAATAGTATTATTTATTTTATTATTGTTATATATTACAATTTTATATTAATCAAAAAAAAATTTTTTTTAAAATAAAAAAAATGTTGAGGTTTGATAGAAAAAAATGATGTTTTTGGAGTTTATTATCCGAAGACGTATTCAATTTGAATAAAACAATGATAAATTATTTTTTTATTTGCTTTAATCACAAATAATTTATTTCTTTTACGTAAATTTATATTATTTGAAAAAGAAAGACTTCACTTGTTTTATAGAAAAGCACTAATTAGCATTTATGTTTGATTGTTAATTAATAAATCTTTTCATATATCATAACCTGTCAAAAATCTATATCATAAATGATAATTTAATTAGAAGTTATTGTACCATTATCAACAATAACAGGGCTCTATTAGTATAATATACTTCTCTATGAAATCTAATGAATTTTATTTTCTATGAATTATTTTTATATAAACTTAAATTTTTTTCTAATAATTCCATACCATATTCCATTTAATATTTTTATTGTTTATTATTTTTAATTCATTTCATTTTTCAACTATCATGTTTAATAGTTAAGATGTTATTTTTTTATTAATTAAATATTTACTAAAGAAGATAAATACTAAAAGATAACACATTAATTATTAGTATGATTAACCATCATAATATTTATACACCTACTTAGACTAATTCAAATGTTATTTTTAATTTTAATTCTCTGATTTATTTAATAATATACACAAAAGAAGATTTTAGAAATTAATGTAAGAATTTATAAAGACACTTTAAAATGTTTATGTTCTTAATAAAACAGAATGATTCATAAAAACATTAACATGATTTCATTTTCTTATTAACACTTTTAGTATCAAATATCATAAAAACGCTAACTACTCTTTTCAAAATATATTCAATTGTTTGAAACTTATTCAATCTATATGATATAATTAAATAACACTCTCTTTAATTTATAATACTTATGTTCTATCAAAACGTTTATTTAAAATAGAGTGATTAACAAATATCTAAAAAATTAAATCAGGTAATTTAATATTTTTAGGTAATTGTTTTCTTGCTATAAAAGAAAAGAGATTTTTAAAAAGAGGTCAGTTAATTCTTTGTTTTATTCTAAGAATGTAATATCTACATCCTTTCTTTCAACAAGATGATGGTAAATAACATTGGGAATACCCATACCCATACAACCATAACAATGTTGACCTTTAAGTCCAATATATTCCATTGCATATGGATCTTTTAATAACACTTTCATAAAGCCACACCAAAATGACCCATACCCTTTGCTTACAAGTGCAAGTTCTAATTCTGCAAGCATGATTGTTGCATCGTCATTAGCAAATTCTTTGTGTTGATCATCAGCATATGCAATGATCATATGAGGTGCATCTCTTCCTATAATATCAACTTTGGCTTGGTATGCACAAACTGGTTTGAAAATTTCAGGAGTTGTTTCAAGATTAACAGCACGACTAGCAAGATGAGAAAGGACTTCAGTTAATTTTGGTCTATTGATAACCATAAATTTGATTGGTCGGTAATTACAAGCGGATGGTGCAAATTTAATAAGACTAATCAATTCTTTCAACTCTTCGTTTGGAATTGCTCCTTTCCATTTTCTTACAGAACGTCTTGTTTTAATTGCTCCAATAACTGAAGTATGTTCATCTGGTAATGGCTCACATTTTTGTTCAAAAAGTGAAATTGCACCAACTTTACAAATAGATTGGCAATGTCCACAACTCATGCAATTTGGTGATTGTTTCTCGTCAACAAGTGCTTTACCACCTTCAACCTTTAATACCCTACAAGGACATTCCTTTGTGCACATTCCACATCCAATACATACATCAGTGTTAATAGTGAGATTTGTCATAACGATATTAAAACTCAGTACTTTTTCTTAAAATATTTCTTTTCTTGATGACGTTTTCTTTTTTTTTTTATTATATAATACTATTATTTTATTTTCATTTTCTTGTTTCTATTTTTTATAACAAATTACATTTTTTAATGTTATTTAATTTCTGAAGATGTAAATAAACAATAACATCATCTTGGATTGTTATTAAACATCTTTTAACCTTCAGCCTTTTTGTTCTGTCTCATTTTTCTATTTAACTAAACCTAAAGAAAATTACCAAATACTAACTTCACATTTCATAGAAAAGAAACACAAAGTGATAGAGTAAATAGTTCATTTCTATCAATTACACACATTAGTTATCGATTAACATATGATAACATCGAATACTCATGATGTCTGTCATTAAAAATTTTAGTGCTATTCCAAATCTTTCTAATTTTTCATCTGGATAAATACTCACTTTCTGAATTTCTTCTTCTTCAATAGAAAATGGTAATTTAAATTTATTTTTTGTTTCTATTGAAAGATGTCTTCCCATATCATTTACTAAGGTTAATATATTTTTTAACCCTTTCTCCAGTTTTCTTTTTTCTTCTTTCTGAGTAGTAAAATCACTACATCGAATAATTTCATGTTTGTTAATCAATGTGACTGGTTCTGCTGTTCGTTCAATTGCAAATTGATTAGAGTGATAACCAATCATTTCTGCTATTTTATTGATTTCTAACAATATGTATGAAAAACCAATTTTGATGTTTTTATTATCTTTCTATATTTTATGAATTTTCTCTTCATTTTTATTTCTTGAAAATGATTACAAACTTTTCTGAATGATTCTATTACATTAATCCCATTAATTATAGGTCCATTTTTATCATATTCGGTGTTGAAAACACTTCTCCAACAATCAACTTCCTCAATATAATATGGTTTATTTTGTTCAAATACTTCTTTGATTTCTTGTATTTCTTTGTTCATTTTATTTACCACCATGAAGTGTCTTCTTCTGATCTCTTTTTCTATTTCTTTCATTTGTGTAATTCCTTTCTTCTTTTCTTCTAAAGTTTTTTGTTCTTCTGTTAATTCATTGATCTCTTTCTCAAGTTTTTTGACAACCTCTTCTTCATTCTTTATTTCTTGTTCAATTTCTTCCTCATTCTTTTCTAACATTACAACCATTTTCTGTGAGTACTGTCTACTTTCATTTAAACACCGATAATATTGTTCGTTGTCAATTAATTGTTTTATTAAACACTCACAACAAATTGGATATTTCCCATTAACAGGATGATTACAAATCCCACATTCAATCTGCATTTGGTATTTCTGTGCTTCACTCATTTTTTAATTTGAAGAACTGTAAATTTCTCATCTTAATATCATATAAATAGAAATGATAAAAATAGAAGAAGATTAATTCATCTCAACAACATACAGGCAAGTTGTGTGTGGGTAATACAAATTGATCTAACAATTAATTTCATAAGAAAAAAAAAAGAAATGAAAAACAAACTGAAAGGAGATTTTCTTGAATGAGTTGATAAATGATCAAGAAAAGAATTTTAATAGATAAACGATTTTCAAGAATTGATGATTTGAAGAATGTGATGGTTTGTTTGAATGATGGATAATGGATGATGTTATACTGAGTGAGAAGATCATTTAATACCATTCTACAAAATGGAGTCATTCTTTCATCAATCAGTTCTTTCCAGTAATCAAGCTATTTGATAAGATTTCATTCAATAATTAAATAAAAACAAACAATTTTAAGATACGTAAACACTTTAAATACGGAATCAGGAAGTAATGAAGAAGAAAGAAAAGAAGGAAACAAATCAGGAAAGTTACGTGATAAAGAAATAAAATGAAAATAGAGAAGTTCGTTTCCAAGAAGAGAATCAGACATTAATACTCTTTCTATCACTTTGTTTACAGGGAGATTTAATAAATCTTCATTTTGTTTAACACCAATCAGTAAAAAGAGTTGAGCAACAAATTCTCTCTGAACAGGAAAAGGAAGTGAATGAAGAGATTGAATAAAAGTGTAATTCCTCTCTTTAATATAATCAATATAATCATGAGAAAAACAGGCATCAGATAAAAATGATTGAGTCGGTTGTAGTTCCATTAACAATAATAGATAATATGTTAATCATTATTTATTTCACTTTCTTTTCATTTCAGACAAATATCAACATGAAAATACAAAAGAAAAGACAAAAACTAGAAAAGAAGATTAGGACAAAAGATAAGATAAAGATATAATCAGAATAATATAGCAAATTACGAATAAAATTTCATTCATTTACATAAAATACATAGCATAATAACATAATTATTTAAGAACCAATTTGAACGATATATCAAATTGATTAATGGATATTTAGCAGATCTTAGAAAACACAGAAGATATAATGCTGATGATAGTCTTGTTGATTCTGCACTATCTAAGTTAAAAGCATCACAACCAAATGTATTCAATTATTTTTTGAGTGTTTCTAAACAACAAATTGGTAAAATAAGAATTAGTTTTATTCCAGGAACAAAAACAGTTTCAAGTCAATTTGTTCGAGTAGGAGAAGATGGATTCAAATGGAATGGAAAGACATTTAATACAACAGATAGATTAGTTGAAGAATTTAAAACAGAAGTAACTAAAATTCTACAGAAAATACAATAAATTTAAATCAATTATTTTAAATTTTGAATGTTTTCATTGAGAGTAATATAAAGAAAGGAAATAATAAACAAGAAACGATTTAGAAAAGAATTTAATAATTTTAGAAATAAAAATGAAAGAAAAGATATTTAATACGTCATTGAATATTTTTTCTTCAACAAATACATTAACTACATTGTTAATATATTTCAATCATAATTTGGTACTTATCTATTTCAATCTGATTTATGAAATATAAATTAAATAATGTAATATAATAATGATTCAATTTTATTGATTATATAATGAAATGTCATTACACATACAAAAAATATTACAACTTCAATGAACGATATTAAAGATAAGTTGTAATTTATAATAACATAATTTAATATAACAATCTGTTATATTGGTAAAAGAATGAAGAAAATAAAAAAGAAAGAATGATATAAAGAAATGATGATATTTTTTCATGATTTAAGAAAATTAAATAAAACTAAAATAGTATTAGAAATAAAACTATTAAATTAATTAATTTCAAAAGTATTTTTAATCTTATTTAAACTATTTTATTCTATTTTATTCTATTTTATTATTTTTATTATTACTTTAATAAAAATTATTTATTTATTCTTTATAATATAAATACTATAATAATACTATTAATTACTATAATTTTTAACTATAATTTTTCCTTGTTCTCTTTCTTATTTTGAATATCATTAATTACAAATAAATACAGAATAATTGAACAAACTACCAACAAAACAACTCACTTCTTTTGGTTGGCAATAAAACGCATATAAAAGAATAATAAAAAAAGGAAAAGTAGAATTTGAGTCATCGAAAATGATAAACTTATATCCCTATGAACCTATTTACTATTTATATTGATTGTTAATGGTGAACACACTTCTTATTGCGTTGAAATCTTATTATAAAGTGGTATGGAGAAATAGATTAAAACAATTTAACTGACATGAGTTTTCAATAAAAATGATTTATTGGTAATGAAGAAGGGAATTTCTACCGCAATTAAGTTCATCACCAATATTATTTGAGACCAGTTAAATTGATATGATAGAATCTAATTAACTATGAGCAACACAAAACAAGAATGAAACATATTGCCTTGGTCTTATTCAAATAATAAAATTTTTAAATGAACATACTTTTATCAATGTTTTTTTGCCATAACTTTACTTATTATTTTTAACTTATAACTGGTTTTGGTAGTACGAACCATTAAATAGATAACTGTTCATTATCTTCGTTATCAAATAAAAAGTGTAATTTGGTTAACTCATTTGAACAATTTCGAATAAATAATTTATGTTATAAAGTCCTATTCTTAAAATATACAAAACAAATAACATTGCAAAAGAAAAGAACTCAATATTTAAATTTAATGTATTCCTATTGTTTATTACTTCTATTTATTTCATTTTGTAATGGTGAGTTTTGTAAAAAAGTGGAAGAGAATGATATTATAATCACTGTAAATCCGAAATGTATTGATTCTACTTTAATTTCAAATGAATTAGAAGGAGATTATACTAAATATTCATCGGTTATTATTTTAATGAATAACAACAGTGGAGAACTTTATTTTGGTTCGGCCAATCCATTTAAAGCAAAAAAAATTATTGTACAACTAAGATATTCATCCCCAATTTATAAACTCAGCTTTAGAAATATTGAAACAAACATTGAACTTGAATTAATTAAAAATTCTTATTCATTTGAAAAAGTTCAATTTATTTTCTATAATGGAAATAGTCCAACAAGAATAATTGGAGATGTTGATGAGTTGTGGGTTAGTGGAAATGATAATTATTATTATTATTATTATTATTTACCTATTCAACGTACTTACTTCAATTCAAGTCCTACTAATTTAATATTTAGTTCTAATAATGGTATACAATATTTAATATCATCGTATGAAGGAATAATCAATCAATTAACACCAAATTCATTAAATGATAAATATTTTAATCAAACATGTGGTGGAATGGTTCGTTATTTTAGTTATAATAATATTGAAATTCATGATATAACAACAGAATGTAATCATCAATTTAAAAAAGATGATGAAGATGATTTTAATTCATTTATTGTTACTGTCACTGTATCTTTATCTAATTATAATTATCAAATATCATTATCAACAAATAATTATATTATTAGAAATAACCATGATTCATCAAATATTCATAGAGTATATACATATCCTAATCAATGGTTAAAATATGAATCATCAAATCAAGCAATATTCAAAATTTATAGAAAGAAAGAACCATATCAAAGAATTGAATTCAGTTTAACAATTGAACAATCAAATGAAGGAACAACATTAATCAAAGAAGTGGAAAATAATGATAAATCAATTTCAACACTAATTATTTCTTCTTCAAAACATTTATCTTTTTCAAATGATATTGAATTTTCAAGAACAACATCAACAACAAAGAAAAGTCAAATAATGATTATTGGAATGAAAGGTGTTACATTTAGTAATAGTAAGAATGATTATCATTGTGATACAATGATTTACAAAGAAGAAACAAGAGAATGTATTGAATGTGAAAAAGGATATTATTTAAATTCAAATAAAGAATGTCAATATAATTCACATTGTAATAAAACAAATAACCAAAGTCATTGTATTGAATGTGAATATGGATATTATTTAAATTCAAATAAAGAATGTCAGTTATCAGATAATTGTATTGTAGGATATAAAACATATTGTTATCAATGTAAAGAAGGATATATTAAAGAAAAAGGAGAATGTAAAAAAATTGATAATAAATGTAATAAATCAGAAAGAAATTATTGTTTAAAATGTTCAAATGGATATAAAATAGAAAATAATCAATGTGATGGAGATAAAGAAGATCAATGTTATTATGAAGGAAATAAATGTGTATCATGTTCAAATAAATATACATTAAATAATGGAAAATGTTCAAATAAAGAAAAGAATCAAAATGGAAAGAATGAAGAAATATATTGTGAAAATGGAAAATACATCAATAATAATAAATGTATAGAATGTTCAAAATCAGAAATATGTCAAACAAATGATATTGAAATAAAATGTAAATATGAAGAATATTTAGATAATAATAAATGTATAAATAAAACATGTGAAGAAGATATGATAAAAGATCAAAATGGAAAATGTAATAATAATAATAATATTCAGAATTGTTTAAATAAATCATATGTTAATGGAAAATGTGTTGAATGTTTAAATACATATTCACCTAATTTGAAGGGAGAATGTATTAATACAAAAATAGAATATTGTGAAGAACAAAATATATATGGATGTAAAAGATGTAAAGAAGGATATTATTTAACAAAAGAAATGAAATGTTTAAAATGTGATGATAAATGTGAAACATGTTATGGAACATCTACATATTGTATGAGTTGTTCTAATGATAAATATTTAAGAAATGATAAAACATGTCAATCAAATGAAGAATTAAATGGAACATGTTTACAAATATTAGCAGATGGAAGTGGATGTGGAATATGTAAGAATGGATATTATAGAAATGGGAAAGGATGTTCAAAATGTGGAAAAGAATGTTTAACATGTAATCAAAAAGATAAATGTATAATATGTGGAGAAGGATATTTTATGAGTTCAACAGGAATATGTAAA